TCTTATATATAACAAATACTTTTGTCCATTTTTTTACATTTTGTCATTTTAGGTGTTCATTATTTTAAAATTTAAAAAAATTATGCAGTCATATATGCATGTCTTTTACATACATTGAATTCCCCCTACCTCCCACCAGGTGGTATCCAATTGGGCCATCACCATTATTTTTCCCATTGCTCTGAAAAGCAAAATTTCTGTGTTTTAATTACTCATTATATTCTTCTTCATTTTTCTCTTTCTGTAAATCATTTTTTGTTAGTCTTTCATATGAACATTAAAATTAACCTAAGTTCAATTTAGATCTATTAAATTAATAAACAAGTTTAGCAAGAGTTGACATTGTATTTTACAATACTGAGTATTCCCATCCAAAAATATGATACTTCTTACCATTCATTCAGTTATCCTTTTATGTCATGTAAAATGTAATATGTGTACACATATGCATACAAAGATATGCATATGTAGAATATAGTTGTACCTATTTCTTAGTAAGTATAGATACTATGAAATGTATAGCTTTAGTTGCTATTATGAAAGGGACATTGTATCACTGAAACTTCCCTTTGATGATAGCAGATGTATAGAAAAGTAATATATATTATTCATCCTGTATGAAGCTGTGTTACTTAGTACTCAGCATTTTAGATAATCATCTTGCACTCTCTAGGTGGACAATTTTAGCACCTGAGAATATAGCTCTTCTTTCTTTATAATACTTGTAGCTATCATTTATTTTTAGTTTAGGTTCATTTATATTGACTAGAGCCTTCAATGAATTATTAACCTCAGTGACAGTGGGGATACTTATCTTAATTTTAAGTTTTGAGCAGGACATTCACTTTAAGTTTCTGGACTTGCACCTGATTTAGTTAAGAGTGATTCCTTCTGTTGAGTCACTAAGGGTCTTGTTTGTTTAGCTTTGCTTTGCTTTAATAAGAATAGGCATATAACTATTATCAAATGCTTTTCTAAAATGTTTTGAAATATAGTAAAACAAGGAATTTCACTGTTTGATTTCTCAATCATAAGCCCTTGGTTTATTCCTGGAATGAGTTACATTGTCTCGCTGTATGATTCTTTTATTACATAGTTAGATTTAATTTGGTTAATATTTTATTTAGACATTTTATGTTTAAATTAACAACCAAATTGCCTGATAACTTCATCCCCTGTGTAATTCCTATGTAATTTTGTTGTCAGATTACATAACAGCAAAATAAAATTATTGAAATGGGAGGGATCCTAGAAATCAAATAATCTGCTCCTCACCTTATAGATGGATAACCAAAGGCAGAGGCAAATATCACATTAGCAAAACTGTATCAGAGGCAGGATTGTGTGACTTAAGGTTCGTAAAGTTCGGGAGGCAGCTTGAGATGCAAAGTCCAAGAAAATATGAAATTCCTTGGTAATAATTTGCTTCCATGAAACATCCTGAGTACAGCGGTCTCTATGAGGTCCACTCACTTCTAGCTCCCTATTGTACTTAGAGACTCCAGTTTTATTCCCTGACTCTTTCACGTGTCCTCTTACATAGATTGTGTTTCTTGAGATTTGTTTTCATTGTCTTTGATTTTCCTGGCAGTTCCCAGCCCACTTAATAGACGCACGATCAATATTTGTTACTTGATAAAAATGTTTCCCTGCACCTTGCCATGCACTTTTATAGCACGATTCTATTAGTTCAATATTCTACAAAATTCATACTCCATAGTCATTTCTTGTTACTACAAATAGCTGCAGAGCAGCACTGTTTCACCAGGAGAAATGGAAGCGCTGGCTTGTTTAGCCAGAGGTCACCCGGACACCAGCACTGGGAGACCACAGACCCCCTGCTTTGGTTCTCAGACGCAGCCCCAGGCCTCTGAGCTGTGCTTTCCTGGAAACAAAGCAGGAGTTAGTTACATTACTTTCTGCAGGAGACACGAAAGCTCCTGGGTGTGCTGAAGGGAGTTACTGCACCTCTTCCCATCACCATACTTACCAGCATTTGGCAGCCAGCATGGGCCCTTTGAAGAGTTATTTTACCTGATTAAAAATTAATTCATTAAAAGCCAAATTGGGAGCTTTTCAGTGATTCCCAATTTGATATCTTAAGTGAAAGTAAAACTTGAAAGAAGCTTCACCCCAGACTTTGTTAAGTACGATGACCAGACAAGAGGAAAAGTGTGTTACTTCTCTTTGAAGTCCAGCTTTCCAAGCCTTTGTGGATTATTGCAAATGAATTTCAAAGGGAAATTGCATTCCGCTTTCTCGCCTGCCCTGAATTTCTGCTGCTGTCTCCTCCCCGTAAGTTCCAGTTTGCTTTTTCTCTTTGGGGCTGACAGTCCTTAAGCATGCTGATTTGTGCACGTATGCCTGTCTTCATTCACTGAAGAGCTGTTTGTTTGGCTGCCGTACACCAGGTACTCGGAACTGCGGGCCCGAGGACGAGCAAGCACGGGTGAGGCCCCGGGTCTTCTGACCAGAGATGGTCACTAGTGAAATCATCTCCTCAGTGGATGTTTAGTTACAAACCGAGAACTGTGTTCTGAAGGAAAAACTTGACTTAGATAGAGAAGGGTCTCAGGGGTGGGTGGGGGTTTGCAGTGTTGGTGAAAGTTTTCCCAAGGAATTACGTTTGAGCTGAGATGGGACGGATATCAGTTAAGCAGATCTAAGTGGTATAAAGGTGGCAGTGAAGGAAGAGGAGGAGCATAGTCCAGGCTGGAGAAAACGGCATGTGCAAATGTCCTGTGGCAGAAGGAAGCGTGGCTATATGAAAGTAGCTTGATATATCTGAAGCAAAACAATAATAATAATAATTATGCGTGATGAGTTTGGACAAGACTATATAGGAATCTAATGAACAAAATAAACTAAGAAACAAAGTAGAGACAGACTCACAGAAGGAGAGAATAGACTGATAGCTGTCAGAGGGAGGCAGTTGGGGGCTGGGTGAGAAGAGTGAAGGGATTAAGCAAAGGAGAAAAAGACTCATGGACACTGACAACAATATGATGATTTCCATAGGGAAGGGGGCATTGGGGGAGGTAGAAGAAGGTAAAGGGGGAATAAATGATGATAGAAGGAGACTTGAAACACACAATACAATATTCAGATGATGTATTGTAGAATTATACCTGAAACCTGTATAATTTTATTAACCGATGTCACCCCAGTAAATTCAATTTGAAAAAGGGGGAAAAAAACAGGTACAGAAATTAATGATAAAAATACATTTTAATTTACATTTAAAAAGTTAAGTCTGCTAATATAAACAGAAACTTTCTGCTTAAGATGATTTCCATGTCACTGAATTGGCTTACAATAAACATGGCGACCAAAAAATGTCCAGAACAAGATGTCCGTTTTTAAATGGGAAAAAAGAGAAAGATGATACATTAAAAATAAATAAATAACATAAATAAATAAAGTAAAAGAGTGTTCATATGGGGCGCATTTTTGCAATTTTTAAATTTACTACTAACCAGCGTTTGTCTGATTTGATCAAAAGACTGAGCTAATAATTTTTTTTTTTTTTACTTAAACAGCGCTCAAATTTATGGATAGATATTTTCTGCAAGTGCAGTGAAAATTACCATAGACATAGGAAAGCAATTAGACTGCTGAATTTCACTTTCTGTGAGTGAAACTTGGGGTGGGGAGAGGGGCACGGCAACTGCTGCCCTTTTCAAATAATTCACAAATGTGCTAATTATGTGTCAGATCTGAAAGTTGAGGCACTGTGACCTTCAAGCCAACAAAAGACCTTTTCAAGTAAGCCATTTCCATGTACATTAATAAAGTGAACACTGCCCTTCCACAGTTAAATAATGTATGGCTGTTATTTCATTATATGTAAATGGAAGCCAAGGAGTGGTTTCACTGTTGACATATTAAAAGAAATGCTATAAAAAAAAAAAAAATCAAAGGCTATAAGTCCATTTTCAGAACATTTGGCGATATTCTTCAACTAGTGATCCAAAGGAATGTTTGCTGTTTGCTCTCACTTCCTGCGGCCAATGTGTGGTTTCTCCGCAGCTAAAAGTATTTCGGATTTGAGCCGTAAAAACTGCGATCTGTTCAAGGATATAATAATGACCAGAGACATTAGGTATGTTAGAAACTGGTTGTTAGGAAAGTGAACTCCTTGCAGTGATGGAGACAGTGATGAATTTTGTAGTTCGGGAAAACACTACCAAAAGGAACGTCGAATGAGCGAGGTTCGCAGGAAAGGGAAAGAATCCCGAGCGCTCTCTGTGGCTCTTTTATGGTATAAAGAAAGGACTGGCAAATACTGGACTTGGGTAATGGGCATAAAGATGGTTATTTGGAAGAGCATCCGCTTCCCTGGAAGAGTGTAAGTTTCACAGGCAATAATGTATAAAGGGATTTGAGTGTCAGTAAGGCTTGAATCAGATAGGCCGCTGGGATGTCAGACAGCGCCCATGGAGGCTGTAGTAGGAAATCAAGAACAGGAAGGAGAATTTAATTATCTCGTATTTGTCCAGCTTTGTAGTATATTGGATGCTGAATAAAACATGAATAAAGACACAGTCATTCTTAATGCAACTTAAGTAGGCATAAGAAACCTCTGGGAAATAATAAAACAATTACAAACTTAAAATAAACCACAACCATGTGAGATTCCAAGAACTTATTAGCATTCAATCAACAAATAAATTTCTTTCCAGTCACATAGGAAACCATAATAGTTAGCATCTTATTATGCATTAGATGTTGATACCAAGAGACTGTACAGGGTTTACCGGTTCACTCACCAGTCGTTCCTTTAGTTTTAAACCATTTGGTAGGGCTCTTTGTTGTTCTTTGTTTTAATAGATTCTCTGGATACCTTCATAAAAGAAACACCACTGACATCTAGGAGGAGACTTGTTTTGTTACTGAGACTTTTCAATGTATGTGCACATGTGCTTACTTGTCTAGGAAAACAAGTGTTTCTGCATTTCTTTAATCTGAAATAATTCTCATTATTTTGGGTTGTATTTCAGGTGGCAAATCTTGCTTGTTCCATGTCAACAAATGAAGATGGGATTAAAATTGTCAAAATTGCAGCCAATCACTTGGAAACTTTGTGTCCACAGGTATGACTAAATTACTGAGTCTTTCACAAAACTAGCTGTTAAAAATTATATACGATGCTTCAGACTTTTGGAAAGACATTTAAATATTTATTTTAAACACAGAAAATAACTCATCCTAAGGTCAGGGTTTTTTCTCTACTAAGCACCTATTTCTTTACTTTGTACTTGATTCTTGTGACATTCCCTAAGGGCCCACATTAGAATATTGTGAGAGAAAGGTATAGTTGGAAATCAAAGTAGTGCTTTGTCCAACAGATTTTATTTCTTTGTAGTCAGTATTTGTTTTGAAACTACAAACAGGATGAAAGGAATGACATTTTTGCCCCTTTTACCAAATGAAGGCACTGGTTTGAAGAAAGCCAAGAAATGTTTTCCTGTCTGCGATTCAGGAGTTTTTGAAATCTGAAGAGCAACACATTTTTAGGGAATTGTTTCTGGATGACTAGTAACCCTGAAGCCATGAATCGAGATACACATAAGGGCAAAGTTTTACTCCTCTTGTCTTAGAATAAGCAAGAAATAACATGGATAATTACTTCCTAGTAAAGACTACACACGTTGTAAGGATGTGAAATACGACAGTGATTAGAGACTTCAAGTCTTTAGACATCTACCGAGATTCTCATTTTACTAAAAGGAGAATGTGTGTTAAATTCTTGATTTGCCTTGCTGACAATTTAATCTCTAAGAATATTGAGGGAATAGTATGGGAGGTTGCTTCTTTGGATTTAATATTAACAAGTAAAACCTAGCTGGAGAAGTGGAATCTAGAGGATCTGGCACTGAGATCTTGCAACTGATGTCAGTTTTCCAGGAGATCCTGTAGGGAACAGAATATTGTACTGAGGTCTCTGAAGTGGTTGTCTCACTTACACTCCCCTCAGCGGTATGTGAGAGTTCTCATTTCTCCACGTTGTGCCTAACACTTGATGCTGTCATTTTTAAAATGTCTTTGAATCTGAAGAGTATTAAATGAATGTCATTGGGTTTAGTTTATAATTCTCTGATTAAAAAGAGAATATTTTAAAAAAATGTTTATTAACCATTTGGCTTTCTAATACCGTGAATAGGCAAAGGCCTCAATCCTTTGCGTATTTTTAGTTGTTTTGTGTGTGTTTTTATTGCATTGCTTGGCTTTGTTAAAAATATCTTCTGTTGATGATGGGTTTTCTTTTAACTGTAGAAATTCTTTCAACAAAATCTTATATAATTTCCATATTTTTAAAAAAGATTAAAACATTTAGATCTTTATTATATCTGAAAATTTTCTTTTTGTGTCTAACTCAAGGTAGGTACCTATTTAAATTTTTTTTTTTTTTTATGGTGTTAATCGTTGGGCCATGACCATGTATTAAATAGCTGATTCTTTCCCAGTTANATGGTGTTAATCGTTGGGCCATGACCATGTATTAAATAGCTGATTCTTTCCCAGTTAATGCTACCATTGTTACACACATTCACACACACACCTTATATATTTTTCATTGGTTTATATGTATTTGTATACATATAAGTTTATATACTATACACATATATAATACATGCACACATATACATGTTTTATATAATATGTTATACAGATATAATACATACATACCAAATGTGTGTAATATTTCACTAATATAGATGAATAGATAAATTGAAGTATGTTTCAAATATGCACATTTCTGGGCTGTGTATTCTGTTCCACTGCTCTATTTCTTTATCCCTGCAACAGTATTGCAATGTCTTAATTATGGTTTTATACTAAATCTTATTATCTTTAGACAAATTGACTCACCTTGTTTTGTCCTTTAAATTATTGTTTTTCTTATTTCGCTTTCATATGACTTTTAGTATCAACTTGTCAAGTTTCATGAAAATACATGTTAGAATGTTTACTGAAATTCTGAAAATATTTTAAATTTTAGATTGTTTTAGATATTCAGTATCCTTTAAGATATTGAATCTTTTCGTTAATTAACGTGTTTTATGTATCTCCATAACTGGATCTTTTTTTTAATGCCTTTCAGGGATTCCTTAGTGTTTTATAATTTATTACAATAAATTACATGGCTACATGCTGGGGGCTTCCAAAGTTTTCCCTCTAGGCTGACCTCTTCCCTAATGACTAGACTTAAATATCTAGTTTTCCCCTTGACACTTCCACTTTGGTACCTAGGGGACATCTCAAACTGGAAATAGCCAAAATGGAGCTCTGGTTGTCCCATCCCCACCTCATTCTGGTGCTGCTTCAGTCTTCCCAATTTTCTAGTTGCTCCTGGGGAAAAGCTGGAGATTTCCTTTATTCATTCAGTAAATGTTTATTGAACATACAGTGTTGGCAGGCACTGTTTATGCATCTGGGGAAAATTGCAAATAAAACAAACAACAAACAAATATTCTCGCCCTTATGAAGCTTATATTCTAATGATATCTAATGGCTGTTTTTCCTATCAAGTCCAGTCAAGTTCACCAGAAATATATATCTTGAATCTATATGCTTTTCTCCATCTTGACTGTCAGCATTGTAGCTTATGACACCATCGTCTCTATTTTGGGCAATAGCCTTTGCCACCATCATCCTCTATAGTGCCTGTGTTTATACTCATATCTCTAATCTACTTTCTATATAAAAGCCAAAGTAAAATTGTAAAGATGTTTATCATAGTAATTGCTTTCCTTTACAGTAAAATGGAAACATTTCCATGGCTGAATCAGACTCTTATGACCTCCCTACTGTCTAGCTTCCAGCCTCACCCCAAATTACTTTCCTTTTTAATCATTTGATCTCTGTCCATTGGCCTTTGTTTCCAGAACACAATAAAACTCCTTCCCACCTGAGGGAGTTTGCACTTGGCAGTTTCCCGGTGCTCACTTCCCATATGGCCGGGGAGACAGTTCCTATTAGGTTCAATTTGTGAGGACTCAGCTCAGATATCATCTTCTCAGAGATCGATCTCCTTAAATCAGTCCTGCAGCTCCCTCATGTTATGTCACCATATTTATTTCTGTAGGAGTCTCTACCACAACCTGGAGTTACATTTTATGTTATCTTGTTACTTTTTATTGTATGTTTCACAGTCAAACATAACCTTCATGAAGGCAATAATTTAGTCATCTTTATTCACTAGTATATCCCCTGCACCTAACAGAAGTGCAGCATATATTGGATGTTCAACAAATTATTGTCCATATAAATGAATGAAAGGGATTTTAGAATAATACATCATTCCATTCATAGAGGGCAGCAAGGCTTTTGACAACATCTTTATGATACTTTTTCTAACATGGTGTATCTTCTTTTTGACAACATAAAAAAATACAGTATAATTTGTTTGAATTGTAACTAATGAAAAAAAAAATCCTTAAAATGGCTGATTAATGTATAGTCACTAGCCAAGGGTGAGGCCTCTCTTGGTGGGCTGCAGTGAGCTGCTCTTGGCCTAGCTCACTTCAGTGTTTTACTAGTGATTTGGATAAAATTGTGGAATAACATTGTTAAAATTTTTAGTTAAAAATAAGATGAAGGAAACATATTAGACAAAAGAATCCAGTCACAAGGAATTGGGCTGTTCTAGAATATAGACTAAATCTCAGTATCCAGATGAACTGTAATAAATATAATAATTAAACCATATATCCTGAGCACTCTAAAATAAATTGCAAAGATAGAGAATGGAAGAAATATGGCTTATCAGAAATTTACCCTCCAGGAAGCTTGCAAGTTTTAGTTGATAGTAAACTCAGTGTGAATCAATAGTATGGGATAGATGTCAGAAAAACTAATATGATTTAAATTTTTTTTCATCAAAGAATAAGTTCTAGAACTTATTTTCTATCTTCTCTATACTTAAAAATTATTTATACATTGTATAATTTTTATACAGTACATCCTGAATTTCATAATTAGTACGTCTGGAGTACATCCCAGTGTATGTGTGCGCGCTCGTGTGTATGTGCACGCGCCCATATGTGTGTAAGTTCCACTTTTGCAATATATATATTGAAATAAAGTATGCACATACATTTAGCTTTACTAATTCCACTTGCAGCAAGTTCTGATCCAGATATAGATATGCATATGCACAACAGTCTGCAAGCAAAGTTTTTATGCAGCTTTATCTGTAACGACAAAAGCTAACGCCACCTAAATGCCTGTTGGTAGTAAGTTGGCTCAGTGTATGTTTTGGTATGGAAGGCACCCAAGATGAGTGAAAAAGGCCAGTTTCAGATGCATATGTATATTATGCCATATATTTTGCAGAAGAGGAGATAGAGCCATATGTTTGTGTAGATCATAGAAAAGTTTTCAAAAGGCCCTCATGAGAGTTTTAATAGTGGTTACTTCTCAGAAGTAAGACTGCGGCAAAGAGCAAGTCAGAGTACTTTTACATGTTGTTTTATTTCTTTTTAAATATGTCTGTATTGATTTCAGAGAGAGGAAGGGAGAGGGAGAGAGAGAGACAGAAACATCAATGATGAGAGAGTCATTGATCGGCTGCAGCCCACAACCCGGGCATGTGCCCTGACCGGAAATCGAACCCTGATCTCCTGGATTCTAGGTTGATGCTCAACCGCTGAGCCACACCCAGCTGGGCTGTTTTGTTTCTTTTAGAACTCAATTTTACCAGAAACAGGCACTTTATTAATTTCTAAACAGAACTCAAGCAATTAAAAAATTCCTAGATTGATTCTGGAGTGAACAAAATTGAGAAAACGCAGAGCCAGGAGGAGCTAATCGGGTGGCATGTAATTCCTATTTGTTAAATGCGGTTGAGTTCACATAGGTTCCAGTGAATTGGATCCCTCTAGTTCTTACTGCACCTAGTGGATGGCACTTATAATGCTTTGCCCAGCCACAGATGTCGTACTTCAAAATAGAATTATCACTTGGAGCTTTGGGGCAGAAGGTATCTGAAATAGCGATGTGACTTGAAGCGATGTCATGTGAAAAATTTATAAAAGCAACAGGGAATTTTTAGCCAGGAAAAGGTAAGATTTGGAGAAATATAATCACT